AGTTATGTACCTACCATTACATTATTAAATCTAATAGTTTCATTGTCCCCCAAATCATCTGTACTTCACTTATTCATCCCTCTACCCCTGGCAACCCTCCTCAACCACTGGCAAACACTGATATTTCTACGGTATCTATAGTTCTGCCTCTTCCAGAATGTCATACAGTTAGATTCATAGAGTGTGCAGACTATGCTTCTGCACTTAGCACTGTACATTTAATGTTCCTCCATGTCTTTCTATGGTTTAATAGCTCATTTATTTTTATTGCCAAATAATATTCCACTACATGGATGTACCACTGTTTTTCTATTTGCTTATTGAGAAATATCTTGGTTACTTTTGGCTTTTGGTAATTATGAATAAGGCTGCTATATCCATGTGTGGGTAGGTTTTTGTGCTGTCATAAATTTTCACCTCATTTAGTTAAATACCAAGGAATGTGATTGCTGGATCATATGGTAAGACTTATGCTTAATTTTGTAAGAAATTAGAAACTGTCTTCCAGAGTGGCCATTCTATTCTGCTTTCCCACCAGCATTTTTGTCAGCATTCTTGTCAGCATTTGATATTGCTGTCAGCATTTGATTTGATTTGATATTGCTAGTTTAACAGTTTTAAAAGGTGTGTAGTGGTATCTTGTGTTTTAACTAACAATTCTTCAGTGACAGATGATGTTGACCATCTTTTCATATACTTATTTACCATCTATATATCTTCTTTGGTGAAATGTCTCTTCAGATTTCTTCCTCACTTCTTAATTGAATTGTTTACTTATAGTTGCATGTTAAGAGTTCTTTGAATGCTTTGAATACAAGTCCTTTATTAGATATGTGTTTGGTAAATAACTTCTCTGAGTCTCTGGTTTGTCTTTTTATACTACTGACAGTGCCTTTCAGAGAGCCAATATTTTTAATTTTAATGAATTCAACTCACCAGTTTTATTCTTTCACAGGTCATACCTTTGGTCTTGTATATAAAAATCTCATTGCCAAATGACTAGAGCGATAATTGCAAAAAGTGATTGACTTTAGCCTGGTGTCCTGACAATATTCCTGTGACAAAGTTCACAGGAAGTCAACAGGCTTGTAAATGCTTCTGCAAGAGCAGAGAGGTGGAACCCGTTAGAATATAAGAGGAAAAAGAAACAGAAAAGGCAAAGTACGTGTGAGAAAAGCAAGGGTGGGTGTCCCTCAGGTGAACTGGGGGGAAGCTATGTTGCTAGTGGTAAGGAACCTATTACTGATGCTATTATTGTGACATATCAAAATAACCTTGAATTCTATGTCACATGGTTAACCCAAGTATAAGAATATGGAAGGGATCAAAAGTGTGTATTGTCATTGGCCCTCAAATGGATGACTTTGGGAGAGAACCAAGGTCAACAGACATCTTGCCTAGTATTTTTGAATGATACTCAGAGTATTTGGGACATTTCTGCTGACAACAAATACAGCCAGTCAACCAGACAGACAGGATTTCAGAGTTAGAGCCTGTTCTGGTTTAAGAGTGTGAAACCAGATTAAGAGTGCATCCACACTCTTAATCCAATCCAGGTACAACAAAAGTCACATCCCATTATAAAGAATTGCTTTATCATCTTAGTAAAAGGTAAAACCTTCAAAATCCCCAGATAACTAGCAGACTCAACACCAGTCAAATCCCATTATCCCCACACCAAAAGACTACACAGCTCTGAGCTGTTCTGGGATTTTACACTATTGAATACATCTGAAGTACACAGGATACAGTCTTGGGATATGGGAATCTCCTTTCTTAATGACACTCTTCTATTTTTATTTTAATGAGATTTGTTGTCATGTAATTATAGTCTGAAACATAAGAAACTTTCAGACCACTTTTGTGGGTGCGTGTGTGCATGTGTGGGGGTGGGGTGGGGTGTGGGGTAGTTCATTAAAAACATCTGTTTTGTAACTGAGGGCACTTCGGACTTGAGTCAGGGAACTCCTTCTCCAGCAAGAAGACAGAGCTACTAAAGAAGGAACTGCAGTTTTAGACAGGAAGCTGGCACCAGCTATAGAGACAACCCCACCAACACCTAGAACCACGGCTAAATGCCAGGCATGCTGGGAGAAGGAGAGCCACAGAGGGAATTAAGCCTTTCCCTTGCTCTCAAGAGGCCTAAGGGTATTTTCTAGTAGGACAACAGAAAGTACCTAGAGCACTTCTTATTCTTCTGTGAAGGGGAGAAGAACCACCAAATAAATTCCACCACCCTATGAGATCACTAATCTCTGAACTTTAGACACTGGAGGTTGGATTGTTGTTAAATATTATATAATCTAATGCCCACATTTTACAAACAAAGAGAAATCAGGGAAGTGGAAAAAAAATGGTTTAAGATTGCAGGTTTGGGGCTAGAACCCAAATCTCCTGCCTTCTCATCCAGTGCTCTTTCCTCCAGATCACATCGCCTCTCTTGGAGCTCAAAGCGCTTTTCTCACTCCTTGCTTGTCCCATAGTGAGACTGCACCTAATTATGTCAGTTAGACTCAGACTCACGGAGCTCGTGCTGTTTTCCCTACACATTCTCATCTTCCAAGAGACTCCTCCATGGTTTCAACTTAACAGACAATTGTTAAAAATTTTAAGGAGTTGCTTCAGCCTAGGTGGGAAAGAGACTACCAGAGCAAGGAAGGCATACGCCCTACCTCCGTGGAATGCCCTGTAAATGTGCACATCTGGTGCGGTGTTCTCAGACTCCAAGGTACACCTGTGAAACTCATCACAACCTCCTTCCTGCACAAGTTTTCTAATGGAAGTCTCCCTTTTAGGTCAATGACGCCTTAATTCTCTAGGTCCTGTGGTAAAACCTTGAAGCTATTTTTGCTATTCTGGCATGACAGTGAGAGTATCTGGTTTTTAATCCTTATTCTACCACTAACTGAGTAGTTTTGGAACCCTGGGTAAGTCCTAGCTTTCTGAGCTTCCTCTCTTCAACCAGCAAAATGAACAGAGCCATAACCTCTGGGATTCACCTTCTCTGCAGAACCAGTCAGACCCGAGGTGGGAGGCAGAATCTACCTCTCTTCTATCTTCCTCTCTCTCTCTCTCTTTCTCCCTTCCTTTCCTTCTTTCCTCCTATTTATTTATTGCACATCTCTCAGATTTCTCTCTCCTCCATGTTCATCACAGTCAAGCCCCTCATTTTTGGATTTATTACTAAACATGCTTCAAGCTCTTCCGTGTAGACATGGCTTGTTAAAAGCAATCTTGCAGGCTTGCTCAGTCACTTCAGTCACATCCGACTCTTTGCGACCCCATGGACTGTAGCCCGCCAGGCTCCTCTGTCCAGGGGGATTATCCAGGCAAGAATACTGGAGTGGGCTGCCACGCCCTCCTCCAGGGGATCTTCCCCACCCAGGGATTGAACCCACATCTCTTATGCCTCCTGCATTGGCAGGCGGCTTCTCTACCACTAGCGTCACCTGGAATGCAAGAGTTAGCCTAGAGGTATACAGATTAGACAGGAGGCTAGAAAACTAATTAAGAAGCCTATTAGAATAAAGATCAATCTCACACCAAAAACCTGTCATTCACGTCCCCCAAAGGCTGGCTTCAGTTGGCCTTGCTGCTTTCACTTCACATGACTCCTCAAGACATAGCTTTTCTGTCTTAAATGCTATTGTTTCTATCCTTTCTGTGAGGAAAGTGTTTCCTCTTTGTAAACTTAATTCCAATGATTTCTTTAAGGGCAGTTTCTCCCATGGAGTCAGTAGTCTTTCCTTTCTCTTAATTTTTATACAAATATTAACAGTACCAACAATAATCCCCTTTCCTAACTCCCTCTAGTAAATACTGTTAGCATAAAAAAGATGAGACGTAAAACTCTTAATCAACATTTACAGAAGAATATATATGTTTTACATATATTTTTTATATATATACATGTTTTATTATCTCTTCTTGTTTCCTTTGCAAATTAAAATAAGCAAATGACTGTTGACCTTTTTGGTAGAGGATTAACATATAGTTTAAACTGTCTTAGAATAGTTAATAAGAAAAATATCATGATACATATTCTTGGCTCTACCAGCACTCTAAAGATGTCTGGACAAAAGTATATGAATTATTACTAAATATAGGTATAACTTAGGCAAATATTTAAGCAAACAGTGAGGAATATTACATATACGCTTACAGAGTAACTTATTCCATTATGAGATAAGCTCTGAAGACTATTTCTATTTCAGTTATGAAACAATCAGTGCCAATCTTATTCCATTATGAGAGATAAGCTCTGAAGACTCTATTTCTATTTCAGTTATGAAACAATCAGTGCCAATCTGACCAAAAGCATGTCAATGTTAGTCAGTGACTGTAGGGAAGCAGTTGGGAAAACAAAGCTTTATTTTCTCTCTTCTCTGGTGACCCCGATGGTAAAGACTCTGCCTGCAATGCAGGAGACCGGCGTTTGATCCCTGGGTTGGGAAGATCCCCTGGAGAAGGAAATGGCAACCCACTCCAGTCTTCTTGCCTGGAGAATTCCCTGGACAGAGGAGCCTGGCGGACTACAGTCCATGGGGTCGCAAAGAGTCGGACACGACTGAGTGACTAACACTAACTGAAGTTTTACTTTCTCTCTTTCAGATTCTTTTATTGCTAATTTGAATACCTTCCCCAGAGAAAGGCCACAATCGGAGGAGTAAAATGGTCTCATTTCACATGGAGGGAATAAAGCAGAGTTGTCACAGCCCATCAGTCCTCCGGGCACCCACTCTCTGAGAACATTCACTGCATCCGCTTGTACCAACTCCAAGAGAGCGTTTCAAGAATGGAGTTTCAAGCAATTTTAGGTCCCATCACTACTGTCTATTTGTCATAACTGGAAAAAAAATCCACTACACTACAAAAAGATTCTGTTATCCAGTATTTGTTAATTATGATTGAGACCAGAAACATACAAAGTTTCAAAGAAAACAATTGAAGGGAACATCTGAAAGTAATTTTCCCCCACTCTTTGTTGTTCTGCTACTCACGGCAAATCTTCCAAACTGGAGGCTTCATGTCTTGGATCCAATAGATCATAACCACATTCATTGTAGATTTCCAAATAGGAAATGTGCGTTGTATATATTTTGCTGCTGTCCTGATTGGGAAAGGGAAAGATGTTATTAAATGGCTATAAATCATGATTCAGCTTAGAGAGAGATGAACACATTTATCTTTAGTTTCCTTAGAGTTTCTCTCCTTCACTCTCTCACTTTGCATGTTTTTCATTTTCAGTTCGTGACACTTTCAAGTTGCCAGTTACCATATGCATGAAGCTTTTTTCTTTTTTTAAGATGGCCAACATCCATGATTACAAGCAACTTCAGTCTGTTATTTTTTATTGTTTCCACGTTACATGTAAAAAGTCAATACACACTTGAAATGGGCCAACTTGGTTGCAGAACTGTATAAAACACTATTTTCTACTTTCAGACAGAAAAAAAAAAAAAAACCAGAACACAGAATTGTTATTTCAGTTTAAAAACTTCAGTAGCCAAAGAATTTCCATCTTCAATCGTAATTCCTTTTTAACTTTTCTAATATTCTAATTTCCAATGACAGATAACGTAACAGTAAATAGATATCAAAAGTGAATTTCAGGGGATAACAGTAAGATGGGCATTAACAGCTCAGTACTTATACCTTGCATGCTCAATTGCTCAGTCATGTCTGATTCTTTGCAACCCCATGATCTATAGCCCATCAGGATCCCCTGTTCATGGGATGTTCCAGGCAAGAATACTGGAGTGGGTTGCCATTTCCTACTCCACTTATACCTTACCTGTTGGATTAATTTTCCTTGCCCAAGTGGCAAATTAGAGATATTCAGTTATTCATTAGAGAAAGGCCTTTTCTATGAGTCATTACTGAGATGCAATGATACAGGCATCAATGTAATTAAGATAAAAGTCAAGGTGACTGGTCCTAGTCTCAATTCTGCCAACAGACAGAAAGAACTCACTCCCTCTGAGATGGAATAAAACAGGGATTTTTTTTTTCAGGTCTCAAGAAAAGTCCAAAGTCTGTTTTTCAATACAAAGCATCAATAAGAGCACCTCTTCTTGTTTCCCCCAAGACAGAAATGCTTCCATTTCTGCAAATATTAAGAGTGCTGCTTGCTACTCATAAGAGGAGAACATATTTGTGTCTTCTGGCAAGAAGGTCAGCAGATTGTCAGAGTGGATATTCATAGACAGGATTCTCTTTTATATTCAGGAAAACCCATTTGACAGGTATTATTCAAAGAAGGAGAAGATGGGAAAAGAATCGTGGCCTGCAAATCCAAATCTGGAATCCTGGTCCCGGCAACTCTGAGCTGCTACCAGGTCAGGCCTCTGTTCCACACCAACTGAAGTGAGGAAGTTGGATAAGGACTCTGTCTGTGTTCTTCAGGTTAAAATTAATATGATTTTCTGGCCCTAAAATGGCCCAAACTATCCACATAAAGATACTACTACTTCATAAAAATGAAATAATACATGAAAAATTAAGGTAGTTCTCAGCTAGCACATGGCTATAAGTGAGATACTCAAACTGCAGCTGAAATTCCATGTCTGGTGTTCTGCACAAGTGACAGCATGGACTGAATCTCTACTAAGCAACTTCTCCCAACCAAGTGCTGGAAATCTTGTTGATGTAGGTAATGCTGGCTGCTAACACTGACAAATGATCTATCAATTATATTAGTGTCCTCATTTAGTAAAGGCATCATATCAACATAATTTAGGGGGTTATAGTTTACATTAGTGCAGGAAACAACAGACTACAAATACTAGACACAGTCTGAGTGGCCTTTAGTCTAATCCAATGTTTCCTAAAATACCACTTAAAATATTTGTGGAAAAAAGTGTTCCATGATCAATGTACATGCTGTCCATCCCTGGAAGATTCTTAGAGCAAGTTAAAATCCAAGGGGGATCACTCAGCCACATCCTGAGATCCTGTCTGAAACAACATATTTCTAAAATTTATCTGAACATATCTGACATGTCCCATCGATTATGGTTTGAGATTTCAGCATACAAATATGAATTCATCTCAGCATCAGACAAAGCTGGGTTACAGCAGTGGATCTGCCTTTATAACTGAGTGATCATGCGCCCTTAACCTCAGTTGTTTAATCACAAAATTGGGGATGATAACCTTTAATTGCAGAACTACTGTAATGGAGAAATAAGTTTCTGTATTTTAAATCCTAACAACAATGCTAGGCACCGATAAATGTTAATAGTCACCAATAAATCATTGCTGCTGTTGCTATTACTATTATTGCTGTTATTATTTTTATTTCTGAAAGCCTCCAAACAGAGAATTCAGTATATGAACACAGAAGGAAAGGAAAAGAAAGGCAAAAAGAACAAACTGTATGTTCATCGGCAGGGGAGAAACTCTCTTCTTCCAGAAACTAGAAGAAATCATAAAAAAGTCAGGAAAATGGCAAGTCCATTGCCCTGAGATGATAGGGATAATTCCTTTGGCTCCTCCAGCTTCTGCGTTTTCTGGGCTTTTCTTGGAATACACACTTAAAATTCACTGAGCTATGTGGCAGCTACCTTTCCTTATTACTCCTTTTTTTACTGTTTAGGACTGCCAGACTGTAATGTAACACATATGTTCCCTGCAGACAGCCTTTTCTCCCGCCCCAAAACAAGTATGAGCCTCACAATACTCGAAAATGATGAGCGGTGATTTCTAAAATAAATGAAATCAATTTTCATCTTTGAAAATCTTTGCAAATGTGCTATCACCCACTCACAGGCATTTTAGCACCCGGTATGCACTAGTTCTTAGTTTATCTTGAGATAAATACTTTGCATAAGTCAAATGTTTCCTTTAAGGAGTCTGGAGAGCACCATGTGACTTATAAAGCAATCAACTGGGGGCAGCTGAGTACCTGTCAGCATTTTTCAGCTAAGAAGTGAGGACAAACTTTATGAAGAATTTCAAAGTTGCCTCTGACTCATTCTGCCACAGTTCAGTCGGTTTATAACAAATGCTTTGTGCCCCATCCTGTTAATCTGTTCATTTACAAGGAGTTGTCCTGGTTTTACATTGGTCTGATGGGGTCCCTCCAAGTCCAGGAGGTTATTTAGAATCATTCAGAATGAAATGAGGTTTGGAGTGACGTCAATGACAGATATAAAACAATGAACCCAATAGATGGTAGGTACTTGGGGAGATATTTAATGACTTTAAAAACTGTATTTTGGTAACCACAGATGAAATTTAAAGACAAATATATTTTCTATTAGGAAAGAATTTATTTTGTTTAACTTAATTAGGGGATTAGCTCCATTCATTCTAAGTTTCAAAGGGTTCTTTGAAATTGGTCAGAAGTCAATTGGCCAGAAGACATTAATGGCTGTAGTAATAGCTATCATGTTTTGAGCATTGCCTATGTGCCAGGAACTGGACAGTATCTTTAAATACAGTATATTCAACTCTCAAAGCTACCCCACAAGCCTGAGACATCGAGCAACTGCCCAAGTCCACACCCTATTAAGCGGTGCACGTAGACCCAGGTTGCCAGCACCACTTCACTGATTTCCCCAAGACAGCACACTCCTACATTAAGCAATAAAAACTACTAGAAATTATATTCCCAGTTTGTGAGATCTGGGAACAAAACAAAACAGCTAATGTCAGAAATAAATGAGTAAATGAAAAGGAAGAATTTAGATTCAACATATATATTATACTCAATCCTTTCCTTCCCAAATTTTCTGGCATGCAGAGCTGGCATGTTTGCGCTAGGGAGAGATGAGCTGAACTAATGGGTAATTGCTACTTTATGGGTGGAAATTAGAATTATGCATATCTCAGCAATTCTCATCTTTGCAACTCAAAATGCAAGCAGTATACAGTGGAGAAATTTTGGAAACACTGTTACACTGACCCAGTTAGGCCATTTGTTACACAGAACTGATACAACCAAAGAAGTGCTGGAACTAGCAGAGATGCCAGAGATTGTCTAGTACAATGTAGTCCCTATTTTCAGAGGGAGAACTGAAACCCAGAAAATTTAAGTGACTCATTGTGTAGGATTTGTTTAAAAACAATCAGCAAAATAAAGCCATTCTGGCTGTCAGTTTTCTCAGTTATCAAATGAGGATAGAGATACCTACACTGTCAGTTGTGTTAAATCTTGATAAAGAAACAGGTATTTGGGGGACATAATTTTTTGAGGCAGCAAACCACTGTGTCCCTCTCTGCCTAGCAAAAGTAATAAAGCTATCCTCTGCTACTTAAAGAAAAAAGAAACAGGCATTTGGAACTATACAATAAATGATGCATATACTATATATAGGAAACTCCTCTTCATAACAATATTAATTGCAATAGGATGTTTACTGTGGTAAATTCCTCTGGGCTCCCAATAAAAGTGTGAAGAAGGTAAAGCCACACTATCCTATTCACTGCTTTAGTGGCTAAAATAAAATATATTTTTCAATTTCTTAATGAGAAAGAGAAGATATTAGTTGGGAAAATATGTTATCTGTTCTTTTAACCTCCATGGGTGTATGAGAAGGAACTCCCTTTGAGTCTTTGTTGAAGCAGAATCACTTAAATGAGGCACCTTCTGAATTTCTACCTTTTCAGCAAAACCCCAAACTTTCCTTAAATGTAAATTATGGCCATAGTTACTACACAATATTTCCTCATTTATATATAATACAATAAAATGTCACAATAAATTTTCCACCCACAGTAAATTCCTGCTGAATGTATCAAGCATAAAATGAACTGAAAGCTTCATACCTTTTGTAATTGCTCGAAAATGTATGACAGTGTCCTTGGGATGATGCCTCTGTCGCTGTAGCGCTCCGCCCCACCTGTGATGGTGAATGTTTTACCGCTGCCTGTTTGTCCATATGCAAAAATGGTACCATTGTAACCAGCCAGGACACTGCGTAAAGAAATAACACACTTTTGGGAGAGGGCGAGGGTGGGATGTTTCGAGAGAACAGCATCAAAACATGTATATTATCTAGGGTGAAACAGATCATCAGCCCAGGTTGGATGCATGAGACAAGTGCTCGGATCTGGTGCACTGGGAAGACCCAGAGGTGGAGGGGGAGGTGGGAGGGGGGATCGGGATGGGGAACACATTTAAATCTGTGGCTGATTCATGTCAACGTATGATAAGAACCACTACAATACTGTAAAGTAATTAGGCTCCAACTAATAAAAATAAATGGGGAAAAAAGGAAATAACACACTTCTAATCAAAATGGCTAGTTGTATTTGTATTATGCATGCATGCGTGCTAAGTCGCTTCATCATGTCCAACTCTGCAACACTGTGGACTGTAGCCCACCAGGTTCCCCTGTCCGTGGGATTTTCCAGGCAAGAACGCTGGAGTGGGTTGCCATGCCATCCTCCAGGATCATTTGTATTATATGGCTATTTTAATAGCAATTTGATTCAACACTACTGAAAAGACATTGATAGAAGTATCTATAGAAATATTTAGGGATGTGACTAGCTAGCTAGGAATTATTTTTTATTTAGGAGTCTTAGCACATCAATCCTTTTCTCTAAGAAAGAACTAGTAACTCAAATGGGATCCAGTCATCTTAAATATTTTCTTCTGTTGTTTGAATAAAATTTTTATTTTAGAATATAAATTGACCCTTGGACAAGGGTTTGAACTATGTGGGTCCACATATAATCAGATTTTTTTTTCCACTAAATACATACTATAATACTACATGATCCTTGGTTGAATCCACCGATGCAAAACCATGAATACAGGGGGCTAACTGTAAAGCTATACTTGGATTTCCAACTGGGGGGAGGGTTGGTGCCCAAACCCCTCATTTTTCAAGGGCCAAACGTAGTTGACCCTTTTATATTTACAGAAAAGTTGCAAAGATAGTATAGGGAGTTCACACATACCCCACACCTGGTTTCCTCTATTGTTGAGATCTTAGACTAATATTGTACATTTGTCACAATTAATGAACTGATATTGAAATGTATTATTACAAACTCTACACAAATCTCCTTAGTTTTTAACATAATTTCTCTTTTCCCCCAGCCTCACTGAGATAAAGTTGGCATATAACATATATATAAAATTAAGGTGTACAATGTGATGAATCGATACAATATACATTGTGAAATAATTACCACAATAAGTTGACTTAATAAATCCATCAACACATTCATCACCTCAAATAATTATCTTTTTTGTGGTGATAACATTTAAGATTTGCTCTCTTCACAACTTATAAATACATAATACAATATTGCTAATTACTGTCACTGTGCTGTATATTAGATGCCCAGAAACTTACTCGTCCTATATTTAGAAGCTTATATCCTTTGGCCAAAATCTCCCCATTTTCTCTACTCCACAGCCCTAGGTAACCACCATTCTACTCTCTATTTCTATGAGTTTGTTTTTATAGATTCCACATATAAGTGAGAACATATAGTATTTGTCTTTAACTTATTTCATTTAGCATAATGCTCTCAAGGTCTATCTATATTGTCATAAAAAGAATTTTCTTCTTTTATAACTGAATAATATTCCATTGCGAGTATATACCACATCTTTATCTATTCATCCATAGATGGACACAAGTTTTTCCATGCCTTGCCAATTGCCTTGGGAGTACAGATATCTCTTTGAGACAGTGATTTCATTTACTTTGGATATATAGTTGACCTTGAACAACTTGGGTTAGAACTTTCACATGGACTTTTTTCAGTAAATACAAAAAGCCTTCTGTATTTATGGGTTCTGCACCTGCAGATTCAACCAACTGTAGATTCAAGTTTCCACCCAAGGTTCGTTGAATCCACAGATTTGAAACCCATGGATACAGAGAATCAAGTACGGGACTTGAGCATTCATGGATTTTGGTAAATGCAAGGGGTCCTGGAATTAATCCTCCACAGATACTGACAGATGTCTGTATACCCAGAAGTAGGACTGCTGTATCATATGGTAGTTCCATTGTTAATTTTTTAAGGAAACTCCACACTGTTTTTAATGATGGCTTCAAAACAACTTACATTTCACTGACAGTGTACAAAAGTCCCCTTCTCTTCTCTTAAAATCAGGAAATATGCCTCCAGCTTTGCTCTTCTTTCTCAGGACTGCCTTGGCTACTCAAATTCTTATGTAGCCCTTAAAAAATTTAGGTGTTTTTACCTGCTTTTGTGAAAAATGCCATTGAAGTTTTAATAGGTATTGCATTGGATCTATACATGGCTGCAGGTGGCTTATTCAATTTAATAATATTAATTCTTCTGATCCATGAACATGGTATATTTTTCCCATTTATTTGTGTCTTGTTTAATTTTCTCTCTGATGTCTTGTAATTTTCAGTGTATAGATCTTCCACTTCCTTGGTTAAATTTATTCCTAAGTATTTTATTGGTTTTGATACTATTGTAAATGAAACTGCATCTTTTAAGTTTTTTTCAGATATTTTGTTGTTTGTGTATAGAAACACAACTGATACCTGTATAGTGATTTTGTATCCTGCAACTTTAGTGAATTTGTTGCTTAGTTCCAACAGTTTTTTGGTGGACTCTAGGATTTTTCTCTATGTAAGGTCATATCATCTACAAACAGGAATTTTTACTTCTTTCTCTCAAATCTGGATGCCTTTTATTTTTTTTCCTTGCCTAATTGCTCTGAAGAGGACTTCCAGTATTATGTTGAATGGAAGCGGTAAAAGTGGGTACCTTTGTCGTGTTACTGATTTTAGTGAGAAAGATTAAAAGCTTTCACCATTGAGTATGATGTTAGCTATGATTTTGTTATATATAGCATTTATTATGTTGAGGTACATTTTTTTTATGCTCAATTTGGTTGAGTACTTTATCTAAAGAATGTTGAATTTTGTCAAATGCTTTTCCTGCACCTGATCATATGATTTTTATCTTCTGTGAATGTGGTGTATCACATTTATTGATTTGCACATGTTAAATCATCTTTGCATTCCAGGAATAATCCTACTTGAACATGGTGTGTGATCCTTTTATTGTATGTTGTTGAGATTTTTCGCATCTATATTCATCAGGGATATTAGTCTATAGTTTCCTTGTGGTGTCCTTAATCTGGCTTTGGTATCAGTGTAATGTTGACCTTGTAAAATGAATGTAGAAATGTTCCTTCCTCTCTAATTTTTTTTAGAAGAGTTTGAGAAGGATTGGCATTAATTTTTAAGTATTTGGTAGAATTCACTAGTGAAACAATCTGGACTCAGGATTTTCTTTGTTGAAAGATTTTTGATTACTAATTCAATTTCCTTATGGTTATTGATCTGTTCAAAGTTTCCATTTCTCCATGACTCAGTCTCACTTCACTGTATGTTTCTAAAAACTTTTTCGAGGTTATCCAGCTTACGGGGACATAAATGTCCATAGTAGTCTCTTATGATCTTTTGCATTTCTTTGGTGCTAGCTGTTAGGTTTCCATTTTCATCTCTGATTTTATTTATTAGGGAATTCTAACTATATTCTTGGGCGGCTAGCTAAAAGTTTAAGAAAAGAAAAAAACTTGCTTTCTGGCTATTTTGTAGTTCCTTTGTCCCCTTCTTCCTCTTCTCCTGACTTTCCTTGGGAATTGATGCTTTGATTCTCTCCTCTTTATCTTTTGTGTATCTCCTGCAGGTTTTTACTTTGTGGTTACAATGAGACTTACATAAAATATCTTAATGATATAACAGATTATTTTAAGCTGATAACTTAACTTTGATCACATATAAAAATTCTACCCATTTACTCCTTGTCCCATATTTTATGTTCTTGATATCACAGTTTGCCTCTTTTAATATTGTGTATCTATTAACAAAATATTGTAGCTATAGTTATTTTTTAATACTTTTGTCCTTTAAACTCTATACTAGAGTTAAGCAATTAGCACATCACCATGTCATTGTTGTTTAGTTGCCAAGTCATGTCTGACTCTTTTGTGACCCCATGGACTGGGGCCCACCAGGCTCCTCTGTCCATAGAATTTCCTAGGCAAGAATACTAGAGTGAGTTGCCATTTCCTTCTCCAGGGGATCTTCCTGACCCAGGAATCAAACTTACATCTCCTGCATTGATAGGCAGATTCTTTACCACTGAGCTACCAAGGAAGCCTGGTAACACATCACCATATCAAAGTACTAAAGTGTTCTGAATTTGACTATATAATTACCTTTACCATTATGTTTATATTTTCATATGTTTTCATGTTACTAATTAGTGTCTTTTCAATTCAGCTTGAAGAGCCCCTTTCAGCATGTCTTGTAAGGCAAGTCTAGTGATGAATTCTATCAACTTTTATTTCTCCCTCATTTCTGAAAGACAGTAAAGTATTCTTGGTTGGCAGAGTTTCCCCCCTACCCCCCACACACTTTTATATGTCATCCCACTCTCTTGGGCTGAAAAATTTATGCTAAAATATCTGATGATGGCCTTATGGGGTTTCCCTTATTGTGAGCAGTTTTTTTTTTTTTTTTGGTGCTTTTAAAATTTTCTCTTGGTTTTTGATTTTAGACAGTTTTATTTTAATGTGCCTTGGTCTGAAATTTTAGGGTGACATATTAGTTTCATGAACATGGATATCCAAGTCTCTCCCCAGATTGGACAATTCTTACTCATTATTTCTTTAAATAAGCTTTCAGTCCCTTTATCCCTCTCTTCTGAGACTTTAACAACGAGTAGCTTGTTTCTTTTATGGTATCTCATGCTTCATGTAGGTTTTTTTCACTCTTTTTCATTCTCGTTTCTTTTTGCTTCTCTAACTGGATGATTTCAAATGACTCTCTTTTTTCTAGTTAATCAATTCTTGCTTCTGCTTGGTTGAGTCAGCTATGAAGCTTTCCAATGAATCTTCAATTAAGTTATTGTATTCCTTGACCCTAGGACTTTAGTTTGCTTGTTTTTTAATGGCTTCTA